GGGTTAAAACGTACGTACGGGATCCAGACCGGATATCACCCACCCGACAAATCATTGTTCGGTTGGTACGTAATCCACATGACCCATAGGGTGGATTATCGATTCTTGTGTTCTGCATTAAACTATTTATAGTTTAAGGGCCTGGTTAGAAATGTTGCCTTAGACTAGGAATAGCTAAGAGCTTGTTATAAAATGATTTGGCCTTAGATTAAGAATAATTTAAGAGCATAGTTGAGATATTGAATATCAAATGACTTGGAATAAAATATCGAGAATATCATGAACGTTTGAATTATATATTGGGTGCATGATATCAAATGGTTGATTATGAATTGAAATTCAATTTATTTGAATGTTCGACGCTTTAGATATGCTTACTCAGCTTCACCGCTGAGCGTGTAGTGTGTTTTATTTGCTACACGCAGGTAGGTAGAATGAATGATTGGCTGATTCCTGGCAGCAGAAGGGGCGAGACAGTCGTGGTGGATCATTGAACAAAATAAATAATTATGTTGTTATGAAACATATTTAAAAGTCGCTTCCGCATTATTATTAAACACTCCGCATTTTCTACAATTATGTATGGAATATTATTTATAAATAAAAATGTTTGAAATGTTTTAAATTATCACGATTACCAAATCAATACTTTAGTCCGAAAGGGGCTGCAGACCTGGACGGATTAGGGTGTTACAGAAACAACGCTATACGCTCAACAAAAGATGAGTGGTAATCTAACAGTAGAACACATAGTACATTCACATTGGTATAAACATAAGTGTACCTGTACTAAAGTACGAGATACCACATACACGTTTAATGAATTATAGGTTATGAATAAACAGCAATGCAATGCCACATAATCATGATGCATGAGTTAGATTGCGCAGGGACCCCTTGTTGGTCTTATGGGGGACCATCGATCACCCTTAGGGATTCGCTATTGTGCTTAGCACGGTATCGGGTATTGACAGCCCAACCTGACGAGGTACATGAGTCGTGTATCTTGCGAAGCCCCTCCTATCCATCCACCGCTCAGTAGTGGGGCTCTGCACTGCCGTAGTGAACTATAGGGGGTGCCCTATAGGAATCTACCTCGGCTTGGGGCTACAGAGAGATGTGGTTAAATATAAAGTGTCCACCTTCCTATCACCAATTGGTTTTAGAAAGCATTTGGCACCTCTTTAACTTCAGAACTCTATGGTTAAGCGTGCTGGAATGGGAGTAGTCCTAGGATGGGTGACCCACTGGGAAATTCCAGAAAAACGATCCTACAAGTGGTATCAGAGAGAGGAAGCAGGCTCGAATCCCCCGGGTGTCGCTGGGGGGAGATTGTTGGTCTTATGGGGGACCATCGATCACCCTTAGGGATTCGCTATTGTGCTTAACACGGTATCGGGTATTGACAGCCCAACTTGACGAGGTACATGAGTCGTGTATCTTGCGAAGCCCCTTCTGTCCATCCACCGCTCAGTAGTGGGGCTCTGCACTGCCGTAGTGAACTATAGGGGGTGCCCGCCCCTATAGGAATCTACCTCGGCTTGGGGCTACAGAGAGATGTGGTTAAGCGTGCTGGAATGGTATCAGAGAGGAAGCAGGGAAGTTCCAGAAAAACGATCCTACACCCCTGCCCTTCGGTGATCATCCCCACGCGATAGATGAGCCAAGGAACGCCTTAGTCATCTCGATGGAGACTAGAATGTGGGTGATAGCTAATCCTAGCTACCATGTACGTGCACAAGCCCTCGTGATGAAACCCGTTGGATCCCGAAGGCTCCTAGACCGGCCCACGGAAGAGGCGCACTAGGCTTGACCTCTTGTCGGGTATGCAAGTATGCCATGATCCTAAACATGCGTCTAGGATATACATGATGATATAAATGCATTACTTTGAGAAAATTTTGTAAAAAAATTTTGCAAAATTTTTTCGGAATTAAATTGCGTTTTCAAAAATAATTTCATTTTGGTCATTTGGAATATTCTGGATTTTTTTATGCTGGCAGAATATCCAGAGTATATAAAATGATTTTATAAAATTTTATAAGATTTATTTAGACATCTAATTTAATTTTATGAGTTTTAGAAAATATTTACTGCCGTAGTATTTTTCTAGAACTGTCTGGGTGAGCGCGGTTCACCCGGTGTATGTATATCTCTATTGCTTGTGTGGATGTATGATATGCATGGTGGATGATTGTGTCTATAGTTTATTTGATTATAATACGGCCTGCGTGTCGTGCCTTATCTCTTAAACTCTTGTTGTAAATCTATTTCTCTCTCTTACCTCAACCGAGGATTCTTTTCACACGTGGTGGTTTGAAGACGAAAAGATTTGAAGACCGTTTAGAGAAATCTAAAAGAATGGAGATAGCCCGAAGTTCAAGTGCCCGGAAGCCAGTGGGAGATATCGTTTTATTTTTCTTTTAGGGGCCACAATCATTACACGTTTATTTACTGCGTTTTGTGAATGCATGTTGAATGTATGTTGAACGCTAGTAATGGACATGTGCGCGGCCATGTCGATAGGTGAGATCGAAATTATAAATCCCTTACGAATATTAAGTCCGTTGCCTTCTGACGCCCGTCACTATATTCGGCTAATGTGCACTGTCATGTACTTGCACGTTGGGTTAGACTTAACTGAGTCTTGGTCAAATGGATGGATGACTCAGAGGCTACTAAGTTGGGGTCATCAATGACAAGTCGGATGATTTTACTCACTCATCCATCCAGGAGTTGGATCTTTGTGATTTAATTGGAACTCTGTTCCTAACCAAAGTAGTCTGCTTGTAAGACGTGCCTCAGCCAATTACAAGTATGGTGAAAAGGTGTCCTGGTCCGATTGTAGTAATAATGTTCGCCCAACACCAGACCAAGAGCTGATGAGCCCGGCTCATCAGTGGAGTAATGCCATAGCAGAACGCAAGATAATGAAATATGGATCTTGGCCCATTAAAGGTTTCGCCGGAAATCTCGAATCAATATCGAGGGTTATTGATTTGTTAAAAATAGTGGGAGATAATTAATTAAAGGCCTAATTATTTATTAAACATGATAGATAACATATTTTGCAAAATTTTATGGGTAGATGGCCAACAACAACAAACCTTTCAACCTGCGATATGTTCTAGAAAAGGAAAAATTATCTGGAACTAACTTTCTTGATTGGGAGATGAATCTTAAGATTGTTATCGAATGCGAGAAAAAGTTTTAACATCCTAACATGATTGTCTTGCCCAGAATCACGTACTAAAACTTATAGTGAGTAAGAAATTTATACCTTTCTCCGTAAGCGGTAAAAACGAAGAAGTCGTAGGAAGAGCGTTGAAAGTGCAAACGTAACCGTTCAAGCGTCCAGTCTCCAACTTTGACACACGAACAACGGCGGAGTCTACCACAATCTTTATGCTAGTAAAGATTATAGTAGTATAAAATATAAAGATTAAAATTGGGATAATAATAATCTTGTATATTTCTTATAGAAAAAATTTCTAATAATATTTAGAAAATATTATAGATATTTTCTACACACAAAATGATATTAATGGAACCAAACTAATATATTTCTATCTTAAATGGTATGGCCGAATAATACCCATGCTTAGCTAATGGTGTGTATGGTTTTAAATAAAGCATGATTAGTAATTGATTTTGTCATTAGCTAAATGACAAATCAAATAGCCCACTCAAAAATCAATCAAAGGAAATAATGATCCTCTTCAATCCCATGTGGCCGAACAAAAGATTTGTGATTGTGAGAAGGATTTTCAAAATTCTTCTCCACTTAAATGTTCAAAGTGTATTTTATTTGACACCAAAAATTAATATAAAAATTAATTTTAAATCAAAAAAATAATACCCATATCATTTTTAAACAAGTATACAAATATACTTTAAATAGTTTATGTCAAGATAATTATTTTCATAATTAAAATGACAAACCAAAATAAAATATTCAACATATAATATATATACATTAATCGGTACATATATATATATATATATATATATATATATATATATAATATATAACCGAATATTTATATATATAATATTATATTCCAAAATATTTTATTTTACTATTTTACAAATATACAAATTACTTATTATCCCATTATTTAATCCTACTCCTTAAATTGTTCAAAGTGTGTGACCCGTATAGGCACTTATAAAGCTGGCCACAGTATTGGCACCAATACTATAAGCAATAAGCGGTATCTAGCAACACATTATTGCCACCAGATTATAAGTTAAGACGTTTGCACTGTCAAAACCTTTCCACGACTCAGACTCCGTGAAACTGTATCCTTTTGTCTCAATGTCAAAACTTAATGCAAGGGATTAATAAAATCCAGCTTGTAACCATTAAGTCATTCACTGATTTATCAAGTCTGACTGATAGGAACAGACGTCATAAAAACATCTGAGCATGGCCATGCAATATCCTTAGTCATAACTTAATAGTGAGCCCCATAAGACATTAATCTCTTTTAAAAGAGTAGTGACAAATCCTATGTACGTAATCTACGTTTCTGAATACGCGCTACGGCATACCCAAAACAAAGCTTGTATACCATCCTTGTTTCATATGGCTTAGGACAATGCATCAAAGTATGCGTGTTCACATATGCAGAAAACGTAATACTTCAAGTCGAAGGATAGTTACACCCGTGGTCGCGCTAAAGATGCTTAGAGCATGAACTAAAAGTTCAAGCAATATCTTTAGGATGGGTCATTCTGGCATCCTATTATCTCTAGATAATATCTGCCCATGTGCGGATGCGAACACACCGTCATTGACTATGAGACTAAGTCAAACATCCAACACACACTAGTCTCACATGCATTAACGATATCCCACTCTCGTTAATACTCAACTATGGACATATTGATAAATATTTATTTCAAGATGTTAGTCTCATCAGCAGAATAACACTATCTGATAAACATCTTTTAAATATAAATCTAGGAATATAATATTTGTTTACATTAGCATGAGATGTGTAAACATATTATATCTGCCTATACATGATAGAATAATGATAAACAGTTGGCCATTAGGGCACAACTCTAACAATCTCCCACTTGCACTATGGCCAATCTGGCATCAGTCGAGTGCCCATGGACTTAGTGTGACCCTCATGCTTTAGCTTTCCTAAAGGCTTGGTCAAGGGGTCGCTATGTTGTCGTTAGTATCTAATTTGCAAATCATCACATCTCCTCTGTCTATGATTTCTCGTATGATGTGATAACGTCGTACAATGTGTTTGCTTTTCTGGTGAGATCGCGGTTCCTTTGCCTGTGCAATGGCCCCAGTGTTGTCGCAAAACAACGAGATAGGGTCATTAATACTAGGAACCACTCCAAGTTCAGTAATGAACTTCTTGATCCAAACAGCTTCTTTAGCTGCCTCGGCGACAGCTATGTACTCAGCCTCTGTAGTCGAATCGGCGGTTGTATCCTCCTTGAAGCTCTTCGAGCTAAAAGCTCCACCATTTAGGCAAAACAAAACAAATATCCTACTTGTGATTTTGAATCGTCTCTGTCGGTTTGGAAGCTAGCATTAGTGTAACCGACTACCTTTAGCTCTTCCTCACCATCGTATACCAGGAATGCATCCTTAGTATTGCGAAGATACTTGAGGATGTTCTTGACCGCTGTCCAGTGTGCTTCTCCTGGACTTCCTTGGTATCTGCTGGTCACGCTTAAAGCGAATGTGACATCAGGTCTAGTACATATCATGGCGTACATGATGGATCCAATCGCAGAAGCGTATGGAACCTTCATCATGAGTTCCTTATACTCGGGAGTAGAAGGACTCTAGCTCTTGGAAAGAACCGTGCCAGGTGTCATAGGTAAAGATCCTTTCTTTGAGTTAGACATGCTAAATCGATCAAGGATTTTATCTATATATGTACTTTGATTCAGACCTATTAACTTTCTTGATCTATCTCGGGAGATTCTTATGCCAAGGACATAACTAGCATCCCCTAAGTCTTTCATGGAGAAGTTCTCGCTCAACCACGTCTTTACAGAAGTGAGAGCGGGAATATCATTACCCATTAACAATATGTCATGGACGTATAAGATTAGGAATACTATTACACTCCAACTGACCTTCTTGTATACACAAGATTTGTTAGAGTTCTTCTCGAAACCAAAACTGGAAATGGTTTCATCGAAACGTATGTACCAACTCCGAGATGCTTGTTTCAATCCGTAGATTGAACGTTGCAATTTACAAACTTTGGCAGACTGACCAGCAATTTGAAAACCATCAGGCTCTGTCATGAAGACATCCTCTTTGAGGTTCCCGTTAAGGAAAGCCGTCTTGACGTCCATCTGCCAAATTTCGTAATCGTAATAGGCTGCAATTGCAAGCATGATCCGAATGGATTTCAGCATAACAACTGGAGAAAAGGTTTCATCATAGTCAATTCCGTGGATTTGCCTATAACCTTTTGCTACCAATCGAGCTTTGAAGGTATGAACCTTCCCGTCTATGTCTGTCTTCTTTTTGAAGACCCACTTGCATCCAATGGGTTTTACCCCTTCAGGCACATCAACCAAGGTCCAGACTTGGTTTGTGTACATAGACTACATTTTAGATTTCATGGCTTCGAGCCATAGATCGGATTCGGGGCATGTAATTGCCTCAAGATAGGTCTCTGGTTCGCCTTGATCTACCAACAAGACGTCACCTTCATCAGACATGAGAAATCCATATCTGACTGGAGGATTACGTATCTGGTCTGACCTATGTGGTATATCTTGAGCAGTTTGAGGTTCAATTGCTTGATCTCTTTGCTCATGTTCCAACACTATCGGGACTTCTTCTTGTGGTTCTCGAATTTCTTCGAGGTCTACCTTTCTCCCACTAGTGATAGCAGAAAGAAACTCCTTCTCAAGGAAGGTTCCATTCCGAGCAACGAAAATTTTGTTATCGGATGGATGATAGAACTCATACCCTCTTGTTTCCTTGGGATATCCCATAAAAATTACTTTATCGGATTTATGCTCCAACTTACTAGACGTCATGAGACGTTTTACATAAGCTTCACAGCCCCAAATTTTAAAGTACGAGAAACTCGGTTTTCTCCCACGCCATAGTTCGTATGGTGTGCTCTCGACAGCTTTAGATGGAACTATTTTGAGTGTGTGTGCTGCTGTTTTCAATGCATATCCCCAAAATGATTCTGGCAATGTTGTCAGACTAATCATGCTCTGGACCATGTCTAGCAAAGTCCGATTTCTCCTCTCAGACACTCCATTTAACTGAGGTGTCCCCGGAGGAGTGAGTTGGGATAAGATCCCATGCTCTTTCAGATAGTCATCGAACTCCAGGCTTAAGTATTCACCTCCTCGATCCAAGCGGAGGGTCTTAATACTTTTGCCTAATTGTTTTTCTACTTCGTTCTTGAATTCTTTGAATTTTTCAAAGCATTCCGATTTGTGTTTCATGAGATACACATATCCATATCTACTAAGGTCGTCAGTAAATGTAAAGAAGTAAGAATAACCACCTCTAGCTACAGTGCTAATTGGACCACACACATCGGAGTGTATGAGGCCCAATAAGTCACTCGCCCTTTCACCGTGACTGGTGAATGGAGCCTGTGTCATTTTACCAAGTAAACAAGACTTACATACATCATATGACTGGAAGTCAAATGAAACAAGTACACCTGAGCGATGTAACTTAGATATGCGTTTCTCGTTAATGTGGCCCAAACGACAATGCCATAGGTACGCGAGATTCAAACTGTTAGGTTTGTTTCTCTTAACATCCACGTTATATACTGCGGTATCCATGTCGAGGACATAGAGACCGTTGGTCATTTTTGCAGTTGCATAAAATATTTCATTTCTAAAGTTAGAAAAAGGTTTGTCTTTAACAACGAACGAAGATCCTGCTTTGTCAAGGCAGGATACAGAAATGATGTTTCTGCTCATACTAGGTACAAACAGACAATTATTTAACTGCAATACAAGACCACTAGGTAGAGATAATCTATAGGTTCCGACGGCTAATGCATTTACGAGTGCGCCATTGCCGACTTTTAGTTGTATCTCTCCCTTCGTCAATTGTCTACGTTCATGCAGATCGTGCATAGAAGTACAGATGTGAGAACCACATCCAGTATCCATCACCAAAGAGGTGATATCAGACATATTGACTTCAATAACGATGATACCTGAGGTTTGAGGTTTCTTTCCCTCTTTCCTCTCTGCCAGTAATTTTGCGCAGTTGCCCCTCAAGTGGCCCTTTTTGCCACAATAATAGCATACAACAGACTTCTTCTTAGCTCCTTCTTTGGGTTTCAACGAAGAGGAGTTGGACGCTGGCTTGGGTTTCTTAGAACTCTTGCGCTTGGTCCCGGCCGGCGAACGTGGCCCACTCTTCTTCGCAACAGTACTACCCTCTACCATCAGGATAGACTTACGCATGCCCTTCCCTAGACTCTCCTCAGCAGTTGTGAGGAATTTCAGTACCTCAGGCATAGTCATCTCTAGTTTGTTCATGTAGAAGTTCACTACATTTTGACTATACTCAGCTGGTAATGATCCCAAGATTAGATCAGTTGCCAGCATAGGGTGCATCGGGGCGTCCACTTTTTCAAGAGTTTCGAGCTGACCGATCATCTTGAGAACGTGGGGACCAACTGGGTTACCCATTGCCAGCTTACTGGAAAACAGAGTCGTAGAGATTATGAAACGTTCATGTCTAGCCTGGCCTTGGTATAGACCTTTCAAGCAAGTCATCATAGGATGAGCTTCCATGTCCTTGTGGAGCCTTTGGAGCTCCGGGGTCATGGTGGCTAGCATGAGACATCTCACATCACGTGCGTCATCTTCATACTTCTGGTACGAAGGAATTTCTGTAGCACGGACGTTCGCTTCAGGAGATTTGGGAGGCTCAGATGTTAGGACGTAAAGCTTTTTCTCGCATTCGAGAACAATCTTAAGATTCATTTCCCAATCAAGAAAGTTAGCTCCAGATAATTTTTCCTTTTCTAGAACATATCGTAGGTTGAAAGGGTTGTTGTTGTTTGGCATCTACAGAAAATTTTGCAAAATAGGTTATCTATCATGTTTAATAATTAATTAGGCCTTTAATTAATTATCTCCCACTATTTTTAACAAATCAATAACCCTCGATATTGATTCGGAGATTTCTGGCGAAACCTCTAGAGGGCCAAGATCCATATTTCATTATCTTGCGTTCCGCTTGGGCGTTACTCCACAAGACAACTATTTAGGTAGGAACATAGTTCAAACTGATGAGCCGGGCTCTCAGCTCTTAGTCTGGTGTTGGGCGAACAATATTACTACAATCGGACCAGGACACCTTTTCACCATACTTGTAATTGGGTGAGGCACGTCTTACAAGCAGACTACTTTGGTTAGGAACAGAGTTCCAATTAAATCAAACTCCTGGCAGGATGAGTGAGTAAAATCATCCGACTTGTCATTGATGACCCCAACTTACTGCCTCTGAGTCATCCATCCATTTGACCGAGACTCAGTTAAGTCTAACCCAACGTGCGACAGCGACCATGCTATGGCGGTTCCTGTAACCAGCTTAACATACACCGTACTATGCTCTGCTGAGGCTGAGTACATGACACTGCACATTAGCCGGATAGGTGCCGGGCGTCAGAACGTAATAGACTTAATATTCGTGAGGGATTTATAATTTCGATCTCACCTATCGACATGGCCGCGCACATGTTCATTACTAGCGTTCAACATACATTCAACATGCATTCACAAAACGCAGTAAATAAACGTGTAATGATTGTGGCCCCTAAAAGAAAAAAAACGATAGCTCCCACTGGCTTCCGGGCACTAGAACTTCGGGCTATCTCCATTCTTTTAGATTTCTCCAAACGGTCTTCAAATCTTTTCATCTTCAAACCACCACGTGGGAAAAGAATCCTCGGTTGAGGTAAGAGAGAAAAATAGATTAACAGCAAGAGTTTAAAAAATAAGGCACGACACGCAGGCCGTATTATAATCAAATAAACTATAGCCACAATCATCCACCATGCATATCATACATCCACACAAGCAATAGAGATATACATACACCGGGTGAACCGCGCTCACCCCAGACAGTTCTAGAAAAATACTACGCCAGTAAATATTTTCTAAAACTCATAAAATTAAATTAGATGTCCAAATAAATCTAATAAAATTTTATAAAATGATTTTATATACTCTGGATATTCTGCCAGCATAAAAAAATTAGAATATTCCAAATGACCAAAATGCCCTTTTTGCAAAATTATTTTCGAAAAGGCAATTTAATTCCAAAAATATTTTGCAAAAATCATGAAAATTAAATTTCAACTTCCAGTAATTATTTTCAACATTTATAAACCTGGAAATAAAATTTCCAAAATTTATAAATCATTAATTCCAAAATATATTAGTTAAATCTGAATAAGTTATAAAAAGCCATTTAAATTATTTTCGAAAACATTAAATTAAAAAAATTTAATATTTTGAAAAAAATTATTTTTCTTACTGAGATATAACTTTCCAAAATATATATGAGTCATTTATGTAATTAAAATACAAATATATAAATATATATAATATTTCGGTAATCAAACCGAGTACATATATAAATATATATTTATTTAATTAGTAACTAATATTATTTTGTACAATATATTTATCAAAAACCTTATTAAACTTAAAAATAATATTTCTAAGCTTAATAAAGTTCATTTTGAATTTTCCCATATTTATTTTCGGTTTTTACCTAAATAAATACAATAAATTCAAAATAGCAAATAATACATTCAAAAATAACACTATAATTTTATCAATCATATAATGATGTTTTATGTCCAAATAAAATTATATTTACTATTTCTACAATATATATAAATATATATTTCGAAAAATCAAAAAATATATTTTTATATATATGTATTACGGGTAGAAATAAAATAAATAAATTTAAAATTCATTTTCAATGATTTATTTAAGTCCAATACTTATTCCAAGACTAAATAAAATCATTTTACCAATTGTTGAATTTTAATAATTACCAAGTTAAAACTTTGACTTTTAAAATTTTAAAAGTCAAACGTAAAACTATAGTTTTGTACGTTGGCTCTGATATCACTGAAAGGTAACCATGCAAGGATAGGCAGCGGAATATAAAAATTTTAACATCCTAACATGATTATCTTGCCCAGAACCACGTACTAAAACTTATAGTGAGTAAGAAATTTATACCTTTCTCCGTAAGCGGTAAAAACGAAGAAGTGGTAGGAAGAGCGTTGAAAGTGCAAACGTAACCGTTCAAGCGTCCGGTCTCCAACTTTGACACACGAACAATGCCGGAGTCTACCACAATCTTTATGCTAGTAAAGATTATAGTAGTATAAAATATAAAGATTAAAATTGGGATAATAATAATCTTGTATATTTCTTATAGAAAATATTTCTAATAATATTTAGAAAATATTATAGATATTTTCTACACACAAAATGATATTAATGGAACCAAACTAATATATTTCTCTCTTAAATGGTATGGCCGAATAATACCCATGCTTAGCTAATGGTGTGTATGGTTTTAAATAAAGCATGATTAGTAATTGATTTTGTCATTAGCTAAATGACAAATCAATTAGCCCAGTCAAAAATCAATCAAAGGAAATAATGATCCTCTTCAATCCCATATGGCCGAACAAAAGATTTGTGATTGTGAGAAAGATTTTCAAAATTCTTCTCCACTTAAATGTTCAAAGTGTATTTTGTTTGACACCAAAAATTAATATAAAAATTAATTTTAAATCAAATAAAATACCCATATCATTCTCTAAAAAGGTGAAATATTCAACATATAATATATATACATTAATCGGTACATATATATAATATATATAACCGAATATTTATATATATAATAATATATTCCAAATATATTATTTTAATATTTTACAAATATACAAATTACTTATTATCCCATTGTTTAATCCTACTCCTTAAATTGTTCAAAGTGTGTGACCCGTATAGCCGCCACTTATAAAGCTGGCCACAGTATTGGCTCTGCACCAATACTGTAAGCAATAAGCGGTATCTAGCACAGTCAAAACCTTTCCATGACTCAGACTCCGTGTAACTGTATCCCTTTGTCTCAATGTCTAAACTTAATGCAAGGGATTAATAAAATCCAATCTAGCTTGTTTCCATTAAGTCATTCACTGATTTATCACATCTGACTGACAGACGTCATAAAAACATCCCAGCATGGCCATGCAATATCCTCAGTCATAACTTATCAGTGGGCCCGATAAGACATTAATCTCTTTTAAAAGAGTAGTGACAAATCCTATGTACGTAATCTACGTTTCTGAATACGCGCTACGGCATACCCAACACAAAGCATGTATACCATTCTTATTTCATATGGCTTAGGACAATGCATCAAAGTATGCGGGTTCACATATGCAGAAAACGTAATACTTCAAGTTGAAGGATAGTTACACTCGTGGTCGCACTAAAGATGCTTAGAGCATGAACTAAAAGTTCAAGCAACATCTTTAGGATGGGTCATTCCGGTATCCTATTATCTCTAGATAATATCTGCCCATGTGCACATGCGAACACACCGTCATTGACTATGAGACTAATTCAAACATCCAACACACACTAGTCTCACATGCATTAACGATATCCCACTCTCGTTAATACTCGACTATGGACATTTAGATAAATATTTATTTCAAGATGTTAGTCTCATCAGCAGAATAACACTATCTGATAAACATCTTTTAAATATAAATCTAGTAATATAATATGTGTTTACATTAGCATGAGATGTGTAAACATATTATATCTGCCTATACATGATAGAATAATGATAAACAGTTGGCCATCAGGGCACAACTCCAACATTTATCATCAAAAACTTTGTGTTGTTTGGAACTCTCTCTTTTTACACTTTTTATTTTATCTCTAAAACTAAAAAGACCAACTTTATTTTACAACATAAGTTTTATTGTTTATTTGTTGTAAATATTTGTTATTATTTTGTTGTAAATATTTGTTATTATTTATCATCAAAAACTTTGTGTTGTTTGGAACTCTCTCTTTTTACACTTTTTATTTTATCTCTAAAACTAAAAAGACCAACTTTATTTTACACTTTTTTAAACATAAGTTTTATTGTTTATTTGTTGTAAATATTTGTTATTATTTTGTTTTCCCTAACCTCTTCGTGAAGGTACTAAAAAAACAAAAAAAAACCTTACAAAAAAACTAAAACAAAACAAACAAACAAAAAAATTAACCAAAACCAAAAAAAGTGAAAAAAAAATTCCTTTGAGTTCCTTTACTCTTGAACACTTATTGGACTTGTACATATTGACTTGGACATATTGGACATACTTGGACATATTGAACTATCCTACATGTTGGATTTTCCGCCAACGGTGATTGGACATTTTTTTTTCTTTCTTTATTTTGCCCGCTGATCCGCAAAGCCGTCACAGGGTTTGTACATTTAATTACTGCACTTTACATTTCTGCATTTTTTTCTTTCTTTCTAGGCGTGCAAAGCCGCTATTGGACATTATATCTATATACTATATATTATATATACTATATATTATATATTATATATATTATAAATATTATATATATATATATATATATAATATTATATATTATATATATTATACGTATTATATATCTATATATTATTACTAACTCTTTTTATTTTTTTAGTGTTCTCGTTGGTTTATTACCACTTGGCACTCTAACTGCTAACTACTAACTAAAGTATCACTTGTCTCGGTGGTTTTTACCTCTTGACTTAAGTGAGAGCATTTTTATTAATTTTTGCACCTTACATTTTTTTTCTTCTTTTCCTTTTCCCCTTTCCCTTCTCTTTTCTTTTTTTCCCCTTTCCCCCCTTTTACTTTCCTTCTATTCCCTTTTTCCCTTCTCCCTCTTCTCACTCCAACCTTCCCAATCCCTTTCTTTTTATGCTAATGCGTTCACGTGGGATTAATCAAGAAAAACTTTTTTTTC